ATGATGATGATTTATTTTTATTAGAAATTTTATGAAAACAATAGCCAGTTGGCTGGTTTCGTACGTTAAATGTCTACATTTGCGGAGCTCCTTAGTCACTTGCTAATGATTAATTATGGAGGCTCGTTTACTCACGAACAGTACATTTATTTCATGGCAGAGAAAAAGCTTTACTCCTAATGAAATGTCTATTGATTATGTATGAATTGAGAACGAAGTAAGACCCAATTCACAGTGAGTGCTTAGCGCGTTGCAATGACTGATATGGGACATGTAGTGATAGCGTTCAATATATGGTACTATTGTAGTTCGTATGTTCAAAGGTGATGAAGGAAATCACATGTAGTATTATTTAATAGATAGAAAAATAATAAGAATAGAAATATAAATAATCTCTATTTAAATAAACTTAATGTAAGCACTTTTGAATAATCATCTTTTTTATACTACGACTCCCCCCTCCGATCGATCCCCCATCAAATTCAAACGGGGATCGAAATTCCGACGGCCTGAGCCGAGGTTCGAAACCCTGGTGGTGACCTCAGACTAAAGTCGTATCCGTCAGGCAGGAGTTGGCCTTCAGCCGCTCCATAAGCCCTTCCGCAGGTTTGGAGTGCCACCTGCACTCGCCCCTAACGTCCGGTGAAGCTGTAAAGGCCAGCTGCAACCAATAGCATTAGAGTAGTCCGAAAAAAAAAACTACGACTCATTCTCAACGCCCTCTTTCGTCACTCTTCGTATTCTTTCGTTTCCAGATACAGTAAAATTAAATATATACATATATAAGCTTTCAAATGACATATCATTTTTATTAAAATTATGTATAGTTTGACTTAAAACAATGTTTGAATGTAGAGGTAGCGCTTGAGTCGATTTGGTTGCTCGCGAGTGTAGTTTTTTTTTAATACTATGATGGTGGTAAGTTAGATGGTTGTTCAACATCTTTACTGTTTTTTACCATCAAATATTGATGGTCGGGAATATAGGGAGTTTATAGATATTGCCATGTTAAATATACACCTCTTATATATACTATTTGAAATTCCAATTACATGAAATTAAAATAAAAAAAATATTGGAAATGACGACCTTACTCCTGATGGTCGCAGGTTCGATTTGTTGGACGATACGAACTCTTGTAACTTGGGACTAGATGTGACTGTTAATTGTCCTGGTTTATTAATAATACTATTGCAGGAAGTTAGCTACATACGCGTACACTGTAAATACGATATATATAGAAAACTAGGTGACACGTATAAATTGTCCTGGATTATTATTATTGTAGGAACTTAGCTATATACACTTACAATATAATTACCGTATCCGTAGAAATCTAGGTGACACAAAGAATCATCAATTATAGATTTATTGGAAAGTTCAGTTGAGTGGAACGTACGAGCGAGAAACGTGTAAAAGACAGCATAACGTGTAATACGTTATGCTTTTGTGGAAAGGCTTCATTTGATATATAAATATATTTATATATCAAACTAGCTGTACCCGCGACTTCGTCCGCGTGGAATTTAACATTATTTTTCTAAGTTACCTAAAATATTTTTTCTAAAATAAAAGTGGCCTAAGTTACTCCTTATTACATCAGCTACCTGCCAATAAAAGTCCCGTCAAAACCGTTTCAGCTATTTCACAGATTTGCCGAAATAAACAGACAGACAGACAAACTGACAAAAATTTAAAAAAATGTTAGTTTGGTATATGTTACGTAATTATATTTAAAAATATAAATGATATAGCTTAACACTTCCGAAGAATCACACGTCCACGAGTATGACGCACATTTTGTTTTCTTTAATTTTGTAAATACAATTGTTTCTCTGTCGACACAATTTGATCCTTTAAAATGAATGGCATCGAATTACTCGTACGATGCGTAAACAAACGTACAGCTTCCAGTTGTGTCGGTGTGTTATTGTATAATATAGCCTAATCAACGTATTTATGATCACAATGGATTTACATACAATTACAGAGTTTATTGCGCCGGAAACTCGTGGATCTACCGAAAACGGTGACGATACTTTGATCTCAGATTATGGTAGCTGTTTAAATTATTTTGTTTTATTTATATATTTATTCAATATTAATTTCCATCATCATCATCATCATCATCATCACCATCATCACCATCACCGTCATCGTCACCATCAGTCCACTGAAGTCCGCTGCTAGACATAAGCCTCTCCCAAGGCATGCCACTGAGCACAATCTTTCGACTTCTCGTCCTGTTATTAGCCCATTTGCTATTACAATGAGTAAAATAAAAAAGAATAAACTTTATAAATTAGTTTCATAATAGTAAATGCTGCTGATAATAATAATCACCGTTTCATATTAAGAATAAATATGTAATGAATACGTCACAATAATTTTAAATAATAGCCTTAGGAACTCAATGAAATTTCATAGATTATATCATATGTGAGGGCATAAAAAACAGAAGGAAATAAAAAAAAAATCTGTAATCCTATAAACAATCCGATTTGACAAAAAGTACAACCATATCATTTTAGTTTTGTTGTTTTTGTTCAACTCAAATATTTTTCCGGCAACCATTATGGTTAATTCCTGGGGAAATAGCCAATGTAGGTTAACTGATCTGACTTCACTCATCCTGTCATCCTCGACTAGCACCACGCCAGCGTATATACTGTTAGCGCAGGGCGGTATACCATACAGTTATAATCCATAAGCAAAACTCCAGTCACGTCATAAATATAAAAAAAAATTGTTATGCAGCACACAGGATGCGATACGTCCTCCCAATTTATATAACGACCTTCATTAAGGCTCATGAAAGTGTGTTTTAATGAAAACGTCGTGTTGGAATTTTAAAACTGTTTCTAAAATAACTAGATATATATTTATTTTATGATTGAACGTGCGTTATATGAATTACGTTTAAAACTTGGCTATTTATGTTGCATCCAAATGAATGCTTGAAATCTAAATGTGATGATGATTCTTTTTTTATTTCAATTAGTAGAACTAGTACGTTCTTTAAGGGATCTATTGTTTGTTATTAGTTTTTGCAGTAGAACATCCTAATTATATAATTGACGACCTCGGTAGTCTACCGGTCTAGCACACCGTTTTACGTCCAATGGTCGCGGGTACGATTTTGGATACATAAATGATAGTTAACTTAGTACATTGCTATAGTCCATGTATAGCATTAATTCTGTACTATAATGAGTTTCTGAGATTCCGTTACACATTTTTATAGATATTTTATATATGTAGATACTACTGATTTGTACCTACTTACTTTTACATAAAAGTATGATGATTATTAAAATATTTTTTTTTATTATGTGCTTATTGAAACTAAAATTTCTGGTCTATGGTCTATTCTATTAATTTTGCACGCATAAATATTATTTAATTTCCATTAGAATCTTTTCTAAATTCAAAATTGTTGTTATGTATGTTGTATATGTATGTTATGTATTAAGTGTCCATATTTTTGAATTTAGAACTAATAAAAGATTTAAAGTAAATAAGAATAAAAATATATGGGCTGTAATACTTTTTTATTTTTGAATTTAGAACTAATAAAAGATTTAAAATAAATAAAGTGAATAATAAATTCTCGACAAGAAACGTGCTACAATTTTGTTTGTTTACATACAATTTATTTTTGTCAATGAACTGTAAGCTTCAAACGAAAAGCGTAAGAGGTTTATTTCCATTGATTCCTAAACATATTGAGGGTATGTTAATAAATCGTTTCCGTGCTTTCTTAGAACTGTTGTTTTGCAGCTTGATTTTTTTGTAAGTGTGTATTTTCCACAACGTATTGAAATATATGTATTAACCGCCAATAAGAACATCGTAGCTTTGCAGTTTATTATTTACGGAGGTTTTATTAAGTCAGGTACTTATACTGAAGTATAAGCGCGCTCACACTTCACGACGTTATACAAGGTCGTGAAGTGTGAGCGCGCGCGAAAGAATAGAATAGAATAGAATAGAAAATCATTTATTCAAATAAACTTAATTTAAGCACTTTTGAATAGTCATAACAATTTGTTTTTTATCTACCACTCGTTCGGAAAGCTGTCTCATCACAAGAAGAACGAGCAAGAAACTTGTGTGTTGCTCTTTTAAATAATCCTTGTAAGTTTACATTTACAAGTCGAAACGTGTGAATACAAACTACCAACAAGCACAAATTTTTTGGGTCAAATATAATCATGCAATAAGATTAAATCAGTCGTAGTGATAAGAGCAAAGCGCCTATATACCCCATCTGGAATAACAGTTATGAAGATATATTATAATTATTTACCTCCTTGTATGTTTTCGACTTGCTGAATTATTTCGTCCATCTTTTTGGAGCTATGAGCTATTTTCGGGGTAAGTAGAGAAACACACGCGGAGAAGGTAGTTGTCGACGTATGTTGGTAAATGGGTCCTCAAACCTACACTCGGGTCACAACGGAACAGCTCGGAGTTTACCTATACCAGAGACACAAGTCCCGGGATCTGTTTAGAGTTTGCCTCTCTGCCACACGATGGACTCGGCACCCGCACGATGAATCTATAGAAAGGAAGTTCATTTCCCTTAATTTAAAGAAAGGGATACATAACACTAATAAGTTAAAATGTGCTTTTAGTTTAATAATAGTTCTGCCCTACGCAAAGGTCGTCCGGAAGAGATTGCATATGCAATAAGCCCGTTTTTTGTACCCTATTACTCTGTTAATTTTGATTCCTGTAATTTATTTTGTGCAATAAAGAATCTTATTATTAATATTATAAAAGCGAAAGTTTTTGAGTATGGATGGATGTTTGTTACTCTTTCAAGCAAAAACCACTTAACGGATTTTGATGAAACTTTACAGTGATATAGCTTATACATCAGAATAACATATAGGCTGTAAATTTCATGCGGATGAAACCGCGGGCACAGCTAGTATATAAATATAAATAAGTGTTCATTTTTAACAATTACGTAATATACATACTTTCTGTCTAAGGTGGCTGCGTTGATTCTGAAGATGCACTTCGCATGGAGAGACGGATGCTGTGGAGAGCTCCGGAGCTCCTAAGAGATCCCAACCCTCCCGCCAGAGGTTCCCAGAAAGGGGACGTATACTCTTTCGGGATTATCCTGTACGAGATTCTGGGCAGAAATGGACCGTGGGGTGACACCAGTTTGACATTTGCAGGTTAGTTTGCACTTTTATTTAATTTGATTTTTAGTTTAGTATTTTTTTAATATAATAATAATAATCTCAGGATTCACACAGTGCCATCTAGACTCAAGTTAAGCTAGCTAAAGCTTGTGTACTACTTGATACATTTATTTTCGTAAATACATACATATTATACATTCAAAATACCCAGACCGATACAAACAATCATGCTCAGGAATACAAATGTTTGTGCCGTGTGAGGAATCGAATCCGTGATCATTGGAAGTAAGGCGGTGTTCTAAACCACGAGACCACCGAGGTCTGGAAGATAATGGAATCCATAATGGAGTGGTGCACCCGCCTGCGATAATGGTGTACGCTGGGGGGGCACCAGTACAGGATGATGAGATGAGCATTAGGTCAGGTCATTTGGAAAATTAACACGGAGAATTATTGGTGTCATCCAAACTCAATATCACGACCTTCCTGACACGTAAACCAGAATTTTATAGCTGTATAACCCCCTCCGATCGATCCCCCGTCCAATTCAAACGGGGATCGATATTACGACGGCCTGAGCCGAGGTTCGAACCCCTAGCGATGCTCTCAGACTAAAGTCGTATCCGTCAAGCAGGAGTTGGCCTTCAGCCGCTCTATAAGTCCTTCCGCGGGTTTGGAGTGCCATCTGCACTCGCCCCCTAACGCCCGGTGAAGCTGTAAAGGCCAGCTACGGCCTACAGCATTAGAGTAGTCCGAAAACAAAAGCTGTCACTCTATTGCTAGAAATTATATTATAACATTTTTTACAATTTTTGACTGTCTGTCTGTTTGTTCCGGCTAATCTTTGAAATGGCTGGACCGATTTTGACGTACCTTTTTATCGGTAGCTGATGTAATAAGGAGTAACTTAGGCTACTTTTATTTTAGAAAAAGACTTTATTTATAAAAATAAAGTTAAATTCCACGCGGACGAAGTCGCGGGCACAGCTAGTACATTACTATAATTGATATATTAAATACTATACCTCTTCAAATACACTAATTATTTGTCGAAAGTCTATTTCATTTGTATGTCAATTACAACCGACCCCACAATTTTACACCACAAGGTTGTCGTGGCTCTGTTTAATTCTGTTCAAAACGTTCTGTATGTAAGCTTAAAGATTACACTAATGTACATAAGAGCATATTCGTGTTTTTATTTACATTAGGTTAAGCGTATACTAAGGCCTAAATACAACGAAATAATGTATAGTAACATTTTTTTTTATTTATTTCCAAACATTGACAAAAATATATTCTGAAAGTTAACTGTTTCGATTGAAGGGCGTAAATCTTCTTTAATATTACAAACGTGAAAGTTTGTGAGAATGGTTAGTTTGTTACTCTTTCACGCAAGAGCTACTGAACAGATTTTGATGAAACTTTACAGTTATATAGCTTATACATCAGAATAAAAATAGGCTAATAATTTGACGCGGGTGAAACCACAGGCACACCTAGTATTAAATAAGGCTTGACATCTTAGTCCTCCAGAATGGTAAATGAGTGACATCATAGTTACCACTTACCATCAGGTGGACCGTCAGCTTACTGGCCATTCCATTTACATAAAAGCACTTTACATGATGTAATCTTCTGTACTGCAAGCAGTATCTTGGCCTGTCTGCAGACTTTACAGAACTGCAGTAAGATCTAAAGCAGTACTAACAAGCATCTACCAGATTTGGTTAGGTAAGGAGAAAAACACGAGCGCTGAAGGTAAGTGTTGATGTACCTCGGCACAAGAGCACTTAAACCTACACCCGGTTCACAAGTCCCGGAAACTGCTCGAAGTTTCCCTCTCTGCCACACGATGGACCCGCCACCCGCACGGTTAATATATTGAATGCTAAAAGTTCGTCTCTCTGTGTCGCAGTAAGCGATTAGCCTTATACTAATTCCATAGAGAAAATAAAAAATTACATAACTTAAGTGCAAAGAGATGGAACAGTTCCGAATTTATCCCATTTAAAGAGGCTTAGAAAATGTTCTTATCACAAAATACTTGCCTACCTGAACCCATTAAACTTGAACTCCCATCTTTGATGTTGGCTCTATTTAAATATAAATAATAGCTATTGTACACCACTATCAGTAACACCCAACTTCGTCTGTTTTTGCAGTGTTGCTTATATTATACTTTTTTAATAGATTTATTAAATTTTTACTACTTGATATATCAATAACAAATAAATGATATGAAAGACTGAACCTAAGTTTAATTCCCGACAGGTAATATATGTTTTTCTTCGCGGTACAATCTATCTTAATGTTAATTTTCATTAAGAAAGGTATAGCTTTTTAGCAGTAAAATTGTACGATACAGAACGCTGTAGTTCCTAAACGTTTGTATTTATGTTTGATTTTGTATAAATATTGTTTCGGAATGAAATGAAGTTAGAACGCTAAAGTTTCAAAATATTTGTATTCACGACTATAACTCTTTATGGGGTCATTAGAAACAAGTATCGTTAAGTATACGTCATGGTAATCTCAAAATTTGCCATACTATTATTTCGCTAAGTCTATATATTGGTATTTCCATCATTGGATTTTTTTCAGAAAGTCTATGTTAGGTGGTCTACGATAGTATTTCATATAGTATTTTGTGTGCGCATTTTACTTCCCAAGGACTTCAATAATTTGCTTTATTGATCCCTTAGGAGTACTTGGAAGTAGTTATTGCTCATTTTCGGAGTAGGTGGTGCCTGCGTTGGAAATTTAATTAAATTACTATATTGTTTACTAAAGAATAGGTTGTAATCCCTGGGTGATCGCGCCCACGCACAGTGGGAACTTTGACTCATTTTCATCTCATAAATCTATAACTTCTGTATTAATAAAGATATGTACATGATTTTTTTTTCTGATAATCTTAAATATATATACTTTTAAATAATGTATGCTTTGTGAGTAAAAAAATATTTTTAATAGTTATAAATAATTTAGGAATACAAAAAATATAGAATTTGTAGACTTACATTTATGTCCTAAGAAGTTTATACAGAAATAAGTAAAAGTATCAGCGTAAAAAACCAAAATTCTTATAAAGATAGCTTACAAGTCACTCAAGAGCTCCTTTTCTTCATCAAAAAGTACTAAATATTTTTAATTGGAAGGTTTTCTTAAACTTGTTATGTATGGGTCAGAGGTGTATAAAAATGCGTGTAGAACATCTTTGTTATAGGCTACCCTCGAACATTGTCTTGCATGATGAAGCCTGAACTGTTTATAGTCTTTGTTCCGTGACTCTTGAGCATCTTCTGAAAGTTGCCCAAAAGGCAAGACAGAAAAGTAACGTATCACACGTTCACATTTCATTTCATAACATAAAACAGTTTTATTAATTCCTCATATATACTAGTAATTTCTGATGTACAATGATAATTTTGGAAAAATCTTGTGGCTGTATTGCCGTCATTAGTGTTGCCACTAACTTGCTTCGGTTTATCTATATTTAATCCAAGTTCTTCTCTGAACCTTCTTTGTACATAAGCCTTCTTTTGCTTTTTTAAATCTTTATTTTCTGTTGTTGTGGCAGACCATTTTTATTGATTTGTATATTGATTGTAAGATAAATGTAAAATAAGTTCCACGAATGCAAAGTTGAAAGGCCATACTCGTATTGATAGGAAGTTTCATCGACAGGTTTATTTTGTAGTTTTTCTAAATTGTTCATCTCTGTGGATTTTGCACTGCAAATGGTACATACATTTGATTTCTGCTTTAACGTTAGTAATTTCTATACATTACAATAAAAATAAAATAAAATACAATTTTGGCGGATAGTACGATTCTTTAGCTTCACAAATCAACCTGTATGATGGAAACAATAAGTAATTCTTTGCTATCAAACAACTCCTCATATTTTCGTACTGTGCCTTGTTCAGATCCAATTTTATGAAAATGCTAAGAGCTTAATGTTTTGAATATGCTCTTATATGTGCCGGTTCATTAAGATTGCTCAATTCATTCTAGTTTTCTGCCGGCAATGCTCGTAAAATATCAATGATGAAACCCTTAAACCCTGTACATATGAGTTCAGTATGAAGTCCACAGGTATCAAGCAAGCCTTGTTTGTCCGTTTCTTTGTCCGAACTGTCTTCGTACGTTTTAGAATGTCTTCCTCTTTTCTCTATCGAAGTAGGAGGTTCAGGTTCGCATGTAGTTTTTTCTAGATTTACAGTGAAAATACCATCCTATCAATTGCTATTTTATTTAAAAACTGTTCTTTCTTTCGACCATATTTCGTATAGCGGTGACGAAAATGAGTTATGAAGGACTTCTGAATACTTGCGATAATTTTTGCTATATTCGCATCTGAAGATTCGGTAAAATTATTTCGTAGTTTGAGATAGAATCAACATAATTTGTATCACTTTAAATCAATAAGACACTTAAGTCGCGTCTGGTACACGAGAATTCACTCATTGGGGTGAGATGAGTAATTAACAATTATTTAGTAATAACAAATGCTTATGAAGAACTGTAATATTTCATATGCAAATACATATACTATTTTATACTTAATAATGGTCATATACGTGTGCAAAATTACTTGATAAAAAATATTTATCATTATGCGCTATAGAATAGGTTTGTATGGGAATGGGAACTATATACTGTGTGAAATAATTGATAAAAGTAAGGCAAAAGATAAAATATATAGTAATAATTGAGCAAAAAGTATTTTTTTGAATATTCAGACAGAGATTCTCAAATAAAGAAAAAAATCTTAATATACGTACTCAGAAAAAACAAATCTCACCATGATATTATACTCGATTTAAATATTTTACGCAGTGAAACTGCAAAAAAAAATGTTATGCCATCAAATTACATTATATTTCCTAATAAATAAAACCAAATTTAGAACTTCGGCAAGCTTCAGCAACTGTCAAATCTCCAAGTGAAAGTCTGAGAAAAGAAAATAGTACATATAACGATATATGGATTTTTAGTTAAATAATATTCGACTAAACTAAATATATTTTTATTTTATAGTAAAGTACACATTCTAAGCATTCTAAAATGGTATCACACTATATGACTTGATATTATTTTGATACTATAAACTTATACCAAACAAATTTAAGTTACAAAATTATTTTTGCATTTTTTTCATTCCTTGACTTTAGAGGCTTTATTCTATGAAGTATGAATAGTCAGAGATTTGAATCATATTTATAATGATAGAGTAACTCTTTGGCTACAATTTGAGGTATTATACAAGCATATCCACGGAGTTTTAGAAAAAGTATTTATGAGATGGCTTTCTTAGGCGAGTTCCCACTGTGCCACGTACTAAATGAGTCGCAAATATAGATATTAAAAGGCGCAATACTATAGAATTAATTTAAAACTCCTAGCTAACCCGGCCAACGTTCTTTTACTGTATAAATTAATATCGCCATTAAAAAATCGGGGTTGATGGAAGAAGTATGAATGTTTAGGCCTGCATATGTACCCACATGCTTCCACAATTGAGTAGTGCGAAATAGGTCGCCCTATAACTTATTTTAAGGGCAACCTATTTCGCACTACTCATGGGGCTTGCACTACACCGTCTACAGTAAAAAATTGAAATAAAATTGGGGTGGACCACCCATGGAGCACACTCCTGAATGGGTGGTCCTTAAACTGTTTTTCACAAAAAAACAGTTTAAGTACTTTACTCTAAGCTACTGACCATAAACAAAATGTCATAAGTATCGGTCAAGCTTTATTAATATAGTTAAATGGGTTTTAACAGGAATAGGTTGCACTAGCCGTGGTTACCAGCGGACTGGAGTAATAGCGAACATCGCTGGACGGTTGCCGTCGCAGCCAAGTCGTAGCGGCCTTCATTTTTTATCATCATCATCATCATCATCATCATTTTAACCCGGAAGACGTCTACTGCTGAACAAAGGCCTCCCCCAAAAATCTCCACGACGATCGGCCCTGCGCTGCTCGCATCCACCGCTATCCAACAATCTTTTTTAAACTTGGGTAAAATTCTTATGAAGACTCCCCCACCCTAGGGAATGCAAACAGGGGTGTAGCGCAACCGGTCGTCTAAGACATTGGCTCAAAGTAAATATTTCTATGTGCGAAGCGATGTTTAGTCCGCCCCAATAACCTCTTTAATAGAAGATAAGCAGCCGTCAGACATTCTCCTGGATGTTTAACCTGGTTTAAATGAACAAATATTCTTTTGTCAACAGAAATAATAGGACGAGTTCGTCAGCCAATCGGTGGTGTGCTGTTCCGACCGTCTCTCAGTGGCCTGGTAGCACGACCATCAGTTCTGGCGGTACTGAACGCCTGCTGGAGTGAAAGACCCGAAAGGCGACCTGATTTGAGACTCGTCAGATTGCGGCTGAAGGATATGCATGCTGGCATGTTAGTATTCATACCTACAGTTTTGTGTACCGCTTTTAAAATTTTTAAGAAGTAATTTATAATCTTATGTCATTTGTTCTGAGTGCAAACAATCTTAAGTCTCTAAATAGGTTTAAGATGATTGTTATTAGCCAAACATTTCCAAAAACATGAGTTGTAATTTGGATTTTTAACCTCCCCGTACTTCCAGTATCTAATAAGCTACAGTCAAAATTATATAACGGCAAAATTACCATAAATTATACCCTATATGGCAAATGGAAGCATTTTGACCACCATTTTAGATAAACAGTAAATCATTTTTATATCTTTCCACACTTTTGAAGTCTAAAAATAAAGTTCAAGCAATCTAGCTTTAAAAATGACGATACGAATACGAAAGCGGAGATGAAAGGTTGTATGGAAACAACCTTTCATCTCCGCTTTCAACCTCTTACAACCCTTTTTTTATATTAAAATGTAGCCCATATCCTTCCTCAGGGTCTAGACTATCTGTGTAACAAATTTAATTTAAATCGATTCAGTAGTTTTGGCGTAACTAGTCAATGACGATACGTGCTATCAATTTTTCAACTATCGTCGGCAGATTGTACAGGGAAAGATCGCGACACACAGCACTCACTGTATCCGTACTTATTGATTGAAGTTACCGAATTTTCTTTGAATTTACTAGTTAATTCCACAGAATAAACATATGTGATATAATTCTAATATACCTTATATATTTAGGAAGACGAACATATTCGACAACATGCTCGCAATGATGGAGAAGTACGCTTCAAACTTAGAAGCTTTAGTGGCGGCCAGAACGGAACAGCTATTGCAAGAGAAGAGCAGGACTGACGATCTGCTCAATAGGATGCTACCTAGGTAAGAAGTACCTAAGAATATTATAGTTATATATGACTCTTGATTGCAAAGAGTCAAGGAAATCTGCTCAGAACGTGTGAATAGATCATAACTTTTGTATAGATACATAAAATGCATGTACAAAATATTATAGTTATTGTTTTGAGGATTTTATTGTAAGCGTTTCACCCAATGGTATTGCCCTAATTCATTTAAGATTGAAGATTCATTATTTGTAAGATATATGTTATTACATAAATAGATATTAAGTACAATATGGATTTGTCTGACATGTTTACCCTAGATGGAATACAATATACTTGTTTTATACAAAGATCGTTGAATTTAAACGTCAAAATATTAAATCCTAGCTGATTCTTGCGACTATTAAAGTGGAATTTGACGTCTTTTTTATTAAAATAAATAAAATTTTAAAAATCAATTTTTAACATTTATTTTTAGATAAATCTACACTTATTTTGTGTCAGACAGATATGAAGTCATAACCTCTGGGGTGTGAGTCAGAGACTAAACCACTAGACCATGACATTTTCAATAAAAATACAATACCTAATAACTTATGACTGAGTACCAAATTCTAACAATGCCCAGTAGATGTTTTTCGCAAAAAAAAAACAAAGAAATCATTCGCAGAATAGGACTGAAATAAATGTAACAATAAATAAAGGGAATATCCAGAATTTTATATCAGACCTCAATAAACTTATTCATCCAATTTACATCCTATGTCCCATCCCACAAAGACAGGATACAAAATGGCTCGCCGTGGAGCATTACAGGCAGAATAATAGTTCTGTTTACTACTGCCGACACATCTTCGTAAATCGGTATTATGAAACCTCCATAGTAAGTTTTATTGACTTTTTATGACAAAATTGTCTTACCTCATATTTTATATACAAAGTGATCACTTTGGGACGTACGTTTTATTTTAATTAACTATTTCTATCCACACTCTAGACAAGTAGGAAATGAAATTATCTGAAGATGTGTTTTTAGGGATGAGATGGAAAGAGACAGCAATGTCTGGTGTTTTGTTCTTTCTCTTGAGTTAGCAAACGTCCATTCTTAGGGTTTCGCGCCTTAACGGCTTAACTACTTGTGAATTTCAGTATACATAAGCTTTAAACTGGAAGGAGATCCATCTAATCTAATTAATCAATAAATATATTTTATAATTATCAGTTTTTCGTATCAGGTGCAACTAAAATTAAAATATTACTTCAAACACAGTCGCGAGCAGAATCTAGGCGTAAATTATAACCGTAGAATATACAATAAAATGTGAAGTTGGGTTAGTAGTCTAGCACACCGCTTTACGTCCGATGGTCGCGGGTTCGATTCCTCGCACGGCACAAACATTTGTATTCATGAGTATGATTGTTTGTATCGGTCTAGGTGTTTTCTATATCATATATATTATGTATGTATTTACGAAAAAAAAATATCTATGTATTTGTATCAGTTGTCTAGTACCCATAACACAAGCTTTAGCTAACTTAACTTGGGTCTAGATGGCGCTGCGTGAATTGTTCTGAGATTATTATTATTATTTTCTAGTAGCTGAAAATGAAATGTTGCACCCATCTGCGCTAACGGTTTGCGCTGGTAGGATACCAATGGAGGATGATAGGATGAACATTAGATCAGGTCAGTTCCAGTCCCATCGTGAAGAATTCATCGGGAATCAATCACGATGGTTTCCAAAGAGAACCGTGTGTGGACCTCCAACCTGACATGGTACATTGTTAGCATTGGGATGATTGGTCCACATCATTACATAGTATAAAGTAAAGTCGCTGTCGCTGTCTGTCCGTCCCTATGTATGCTTAAATCTTTAAAACCACGCAACAGATTTCGAAGCGTTTTTTTTTTAATAGATAGATGTTAGAGGAAGTTGTATATATATCACTACTCCCCTGTTGAGTTATAGTTAACTGTGGGAACAAAATCTAACGGAAGCTATTGAAGTAAATCTATGCCAAAAGTCATACTGAAATTAAAGATATTTTTTTAAAATTTCACATATGATTAATTCGATTTTTAGAACAAATGATTACAAACGGCTCTGTTAATATTAGAATTCAATTTGAATTTCAGTCACCAGCGATAACTGGTTACAATATCCATGTAAAGTCACGATGAGTCGCCAGTAGATAGATAAATACAGTAATCTTAATTTATTTCCAAGCAGAACTGTCGCTGAAGCACTGAAGCGGGGTGAGAGAGTTCAAGCGGAGAGTTACGACTGTGTCACGATATATTTCAGCGATATAGTTGGCTTCACTAGACTGGCGGCAGTGAATTCACCAATGCAAGTAAGTTTTATTTCAAGCATTTATTTTCTCATAATGCAATACTTTATTTGCCAAATGTAGAATCCTACCGATCGATCGTCCAATTCAAAGGGGGATCGTAATTACGACGGCCTGAGCCGAGGTTCGAAGCCCTAGCGGTGCCCTCAGGCTAAAGTCATATCCGTCACGCGGGAGTTGGCCTTTAGCTGCTCCATAAGTCCTACCGCGGGTTTGGAGTGCCAGCTGCACTGGCTGCTGGTCTTTACAGCTTCACCGGACGATAGGGGTATCGTCCGGTGAAGCTGTAAAGACCTCGCATGCTTCAAACATTTGTATTCATGAGTATGATTGTATCAGTCTGAGAGTTTTGTATGTATTTACAAAAACAAAATCTATTTATTTATATCAGTTGTGTAGTACCCATAACCACAGAAAAGATAATATTACCTTTTTTTTTTTTTTTAACGTGTGGAAAATCTTCAAAAGACCGTCACCTCGCCGGAGGGATGGCGAGGTGGTGTGTGAGACTTGACTCACTAAAAACCACACGGTGTACCTACGAGCGCCTATGCCGGAGCCAGGGGATTCGCAAGTGCATTCTACCCCAGCTCCGACGGCGACGGCCCGCCCTGTAGATGTTGTAGGGCAGGCCCCATCTCGTTTAGTGGTTAGGGCGACCTATTTCGCCCTACTCCATTGTGGAGGCGTGTGGGTACACGCGCACACCTCCGGGGCCTTTGGATTGGGGGGACTGCCTCCCTCAAGGCAGTCACCCCGGCCCCAGTGGGGGATAGAGGGGGACGGAGTTGGATACGCTCCCACCTCTAGGCCTGGCTCTTCTGCGGCGGAGGGAAGCGGGACGAGCTGACTCCCGCTCCCTTTCCGCCGCCTCCTTCCGCGAGATAACTTCCTCGCAGAAGGAGCTCACCGCCAGCCACGATCTCTCGCTACTGACCATCCTCCGAACTAAATTCGGCAGCGAGAGATCGTCCCCCACTATTCGTGTGAGGACACGGCGCTCACTCTCAAACGCTGGACATATTTCCAGCGTGTGTTGCGCCGTGTCCTCTACACCTCCGCATTCGTGGCAGCCGGTCGTCGGCTCCTTCCTCGCCACATGACACAGATACCGCCCAAAGCAGCCGTGCCCGGACAAGATAATATTACCTACTATAACACAGCACAATAAAAATCTGTAGATTTTGCGAAACTGAAGAGGAAACGCCACTACATCCTATGTGAGTGTAGCCCACTCATGCATAAACGTATTATCTTTGGAAAGTTTACACTTTATCCTGAGGAGATAAAAACCATCGATCCTAAGAATATTCTTCAATTCTTGTCCCTGACGAGTCTAGGTCCAAACATCGTCCTGACATCGGGGAAAAGGGATTGTTAGTAATGTGGACTGATACTGTGAACCCCATTGCTAGCAATGTACTACGTCAGTTTGACCTCCACCTGGTTCCCCCTGGAAACCATCGTTATAAATTCCTGGTGAATTTGTTACGGTGGGCTAACGGACCTGACCTCATGCTCATCTTATCATCTCCCACTGGTGCCCCGCCAGTAAACAGCGTAAAGCACAGGCGGGTGCACCATTCCATTATCATCCATAAAAAAAACACCAAACATCAACCCAATAAAAAAACCATAACACAGGCTCTACTCACCTTGAGCCAAGACAGCATTGTGTCAATTGTCGAGAGATATTAGAGATAAATAATAAATCGTGTTTAAATTTTAAATTCGCTGTACCTCTTTTTAATTTGTTAAATTAATTATTCATTGTCGTCGACACTTTATAATTAAATTAGGTACGTCCGTTAATTATTAACACTTACAAGTAAAACAATTAAAGTTAGACAATGGGAAACCCTGGGATGAAGCAAATAAGTCCATGGCGAAATTATGTTGTCTATGACAATATTATTCTTTGACCTTCTTTTAGGTTCTTCTTGCAAATTAAAATCACCCTTTTCATGGTATGATGGAATTGTTATTTTATTGTTCCAAATGGATATAGAATTAATTTATGTATTTATTATTGTTGATTTATCACGTATTTGATGATATAGGATAATGTTATTTTTTAAAAGTATTTTTGATGTTACATAACTTATATAAGGGTAATTGCTATTTTTTTTAAATCAAGTGTAGCGTTCTTTTTTAATCTGTAGAGCATAATAGTAATCGCTATATAGTATTAAAATATAATTTAAGTATTATTATATTAAAAAATATAATTCTTGATATGATTATGTATTGATATAATCGTACTTATAATGATGTAGTGAACTTTGTTGTCAGACTAGGTTGTGTCATAAACCAATATATATATATATATAATAATAATAATAAACCTAGGACAATTTACTCAGAGTCACCTAGTCCTAAGCTATGGAGAGCCCGTGTTATGAGTACTATACAACTGATATAAATACATAATTGGACACTAACACCCAGAACAATACAAAAAATAGTCATGAATACAATACTTTGTACTGTGCGTGGAATCGAACCTGCGACCATCTAAAGTAGGACGGTGTCTAAACTGCTAGACCACCGAGGTCGTCTAGATCATATTGAATTAAATTGTCACTAAAAAAATTATCCTAATAATGTTATAAATGCGAAATTTTATAAGTACGGTTTGTTACTCTTTCACGCAAAAACTGTTGAAAGGATTTTGATGTAACTTTACAGTAATATAGCTTATGTATCAGAATATCATATACGCTACATTTTTTATTGAAATGTAACGCGAGTGAAACCTCGGGCACTTCATAATATAGAGGTGGTTGACTGAATAAAATTCATTACCATAATAAATATGTCTTATACAGTATGAATTTATATGTATATAAATATTATTTTCACAGGTCGTGGAGATATTAAACGACCTGTACACCTGTTGTGATGCTGTTATATCATACTACAATGTTTACAAGGTAATTTAATTGTACTCAAATCTTTTTTTTATACGACGTAGATGGCAAACAAGCATACGGCCCGTCTAATGGTAAACGGTTACCGTAGCCTATGGACGTCTGAAACACCAGGGGTGTCACGAGCGCGTTACCGTACTAAGTAAGTACCGTACTCTTAAGAAACCTTTAACTTTATACATGTAGGTCTATTACAGACTCTTACGATATGTCAGATCTACCGTCAGTTCGGAGTGATGTCGAGCTGAGAAGAGCTGATAAGGAACTTGACTATTATTCTTTTCAAATAAGCTTGTACATGATTATAAAAATTCAGATGAATTTTAATTAGGGAGAATATATGTTTGGTATTGCATTTTTATCAAAAGTGCACATAAAAGCCTATAAAAGTACTAGTATAGCACAGGCGAGAATTGTAATTTTTTAATACAATCATTACATAATAGAAAACAATGTCGCTGTCGCTGTCTGTCTGTCCTTATGTTTGCTTTAATCTTTAAAATTACGCAACGGATTTTGAAACGGCTTTTTTTTAATAGATAGAGTGATTCAAGAGGAAGGTTTATATATATAATACATCTACACCCGGGCGAAGCCGAGGCGAGTAGCTAGTATAGTATTTATTTATGTCTAGACTTGCAACATCTGTATCCTATCAAAATTTAAATAGAAATACAGATAACCTTTATTCGAATAAACTTAATATAAACACTTTTGTATAGTCATTTCAAAAAGAACATGCAAGAAAGTTGCTTGTTACTCCTTTAACCAACTGTTGTAAGTTTACGTCTTAATGCTAAAATATTTTTAAAGCAAACTTTAATGTCGAAATAATTCCAAAAATAACTATTTCAATACTAAAAAGTTGTTTGTATTCATATTACGAATGTGATTTATGAAGATTGTCTAAGTTTTACAACTGCGTTACAATAAATTCCCCGGACGGGTATACGGGACAAACAAAAAAATTATTCGCAAAGAACTGTAGTTAGTAAAGTTTAATAGGTAAGAAATCAAATTCAAGCACAATAATAAAGATAACATCAATATTTTTAGTATATATTTTAACGAAATATAGACTTACTACAAACTGTACTTACTTCAGCCGTCAAGCGGCTTGCTTTGAGTGATAATGGAATGATACACCTTTCTGCACTAACGGTATACGCTGGTAGTGCGCGAGTGGAGGATGATAGAAGAAGCATAAAGTCAACCCTCTGGCGAATGGAAATGAGGTGGTTACCCTGACATGGTATCTTACCTGGAATGTAGCTAATAGTATAGTAATAATATATGTAAGATATATCAACTCTATGTACTAGTAAAAGTATGTATTATAATAAAATAACAACTATATAACATTAATTTAACTATGTCTCTAACACAATTTACTTTAGCAATTTAAAATACAACCAGCACATCCTGTGCACAAAGACCGAATGCCGCGGCTTACAAAAACCCTCCCTTTTATACAGAGAAGATATGAGTGGGGGTTATATGCAACTAGTTTAACGATACCGAGTAATAATGAAACTACCTTCTTTTAATATAAAATATCAGATTTTTCGAAAATATCCATGTGAACCCTAACATATAATAATATAGGAGTATAAATATATTTAAGTACATACATATCAATATTTATATATAGACTGATGATGGTTGCAGACTCGATTCCTCGCACGATGGAATGGTCTGGGTATTTCTATGTGTATTATGTATGTATTTACAAACAAAACTATTTAAGTATTTCTGTGACGTATCTAATATCTATAACACAGCTCTGCTTAGCAGGACTAGATGGTGCTCTCTGAATTCACTTGGGTTATTTTTACATAACATTAGTGAGAAACACATTAAACAAATAAAACAACCTTTATCCATATCAAATCGCGGCCAAAGTATAAGAATCTATCATAAATATTATGAAGAAATAAATACAGCAGATAAACAACCAATAAACCTCACTCGATTCCTAAGGTTATACGTTAAACAGCTAACCACCACGTCGAAATTTAACAAAATCTTTGTTCTCAGGTGGAAACAATAGGAGATGCGTACATGGTAGTAGGTGGACTACCCGAACGGTGCTCACGTCATGCGGCTGAAGTAGCTTCCTTAGCTCTGCATGTGCTGGATGCTGTACCGAAGATCAGGATGAGGCATATGCCAGCTGCACGGCTGCATATACGAATAGGTTTGTTCCATTCCAACTAAATGTAAATTTAAAAAAAATTGAATCCATCAAGGATTCTATTTTCAAATTTAACCTCGCTTTTGGGCCGTAGTATAGTCTGTGGAATACAAGCCATTTCTTTAGTCTATGTTACATTTATAAGTTTTATATTTCGAATGCCAAATTCTATTCTAAATTGTCACTTCTTTCTAATGTTCTTGTCGGTTTCCCGTCTTGGCTCTAGTAAGTACTGTTTGTTTGTACATATATATGTTTTCCTTTATCGCCCACAGAGTCAAGTCGCTGAATGTGACTCCCACACGTGAATATACTATAGAACTAAGCTATATCGCAACACTGACTTATAGTAAGGTTTTATTATTAGTAAACATGAACCTACAAAATATGGTATATTAATTTTAGTTTATTAGCCCTTATATTTATAAATGTAATTTTGAAAACCTTATTTGTAATGTAAAACTTGCCTGTATCTTAATGCCAGTGTGTTTAATTTTTATTTTTACAAATTATTCTAATGCTGTTGGCTACTATACCGAATGTTAGAATTCCGGAAGGACTTATAGAGCTCAACTGAAGTTCAACTTCTGTCTGACAAATACGACTTTAACCTTAGGGCACTGCTAGGGGGTCGTGCCTCGGCTCAGGCCGTCGTAATTTCGATACCCGTTTGAATTGGACGGGGGATCGATTGGGGAAGTGGATGTATGAATGGATGTTTATTTCTCTTTCACACAAAAACTATGGAAGGGATTCAAAAGAAATGTATAACATGGATTATTCATAAATAAAATTATATCTGCGGTTCCAAGAACCAATCAAATATTCAAATCAGTTGTGTAATACCTATAACATTAATCCCAAATACTTACAAACATTCACCAAAATTAACTCGGCATCTGATGCGAGAAACATATAGTGAATAAATAATCTGACGTTATTTGAGTGGCTATAAGAATTTTCTCTCAAGGATATATGAAGTTAAGTAGATTTATGATGATATATCACAGGAATACAAACAGTGCCAAGCAAAAGAATGAAATTGGTGCTTATCGTGGTAATCTATCTGCGAGCTTTCCATTATGCTATCCATTCATGGAACTGACGGGTTGCTTTACTATAACTTACCTCTGATACTCAGTATAAATTTATCGATAGATAAATTCTGTATTCACCAATTACAGACACATAGCAAAGATGACGTACAAAAAAAATACATGAACAAGTAAAAGAAATTAAGGTGATTTTATGCGCCGCAAAGTGAAAAGGCAACTCATAACTAACATCACGTAAAATTTTATTCTGGATACTTTGTTAAATTATTTATATTACTTTGTATATATATATATATATATATATATATATATATATATATATATATATATATATATATATATATATATATATATATATATATATATATATATATATATATATATTAAACTCTATTTTCCTAGGTTATGCCGTGGAATCTACGAGAAGAATAATGTATACTCGTAAATTTATAAAAAGAAATAAATCTATGCGACCGTTAAAACTGTCTTTAAACGATTTTGAAAATAGTTCTATTTTCAAAATGGTTCAATAAAAACATTCCGCATGCCTTTTATTTTTAAAAATATACCTAAGAATATAAATAACATATAGAAATTCTTAATGAAAAAAATATAGAAATATTTAATAGCTATCTGTGATTACAAATAAAAACCCGAGTAACAGATAATCTATATATTTATGGAATGCGTGAACGGCTGGATAGATTTAATATTTTTTTTTGTTGTGTTTGTTGTTAGGAGAAGGTTCCTATGAAAGTAAAAATAAGAAAGTTGTGCGAAAATTATTTTTTATAATATATTTATAAAAAAAATCTTGCTAATTCAATATTTATAGTTAAGACTAGACAACGTTAATGGGGCCAGATAGTATATATATATATATATATGTATGTATGTATGGATATTTTATATATAATGATTATTATGTAGTTATATGTATGTGTATATGATATGTAAATTGTACATCCAACAACTAATTGTTATACCTCGACCAGACACAGTCTAATCACTCCTGTCCATCCTAAGGTTGCCTGGAAGAAATCGCTATTTAGCGATAAGGCCGCCCATTGTTACCTCTGTTTTATAATTATTTTCATATTTAATGTACATATTAATTTATGTAATTATTCTTTCTGTGAGAGGAACAATAAAGTGTTTTTCATTCATTCATTCATTCATAGTCTGATTATGTTAAAAGAGTGGGATCTTTACAGTACAGTACAGTAAAAAAAATATTTTCATATCTTTTTAAATTGTTATTTTTTGTTGGGTTGTTACTGAAAGGGTAGGGTTAGTTTACCTCAAAAATATTATTAAATTAATTTTAGAGGGTGAAATAGAAAATGAAAGTTTATTTAGACAAAGTATCAGTTACTTTGAATCTAATATCTTTTTAAGATACTATAAAAATTATCATGATTTGACGGCTTCGGATGCCTAGCGGTTTACCAAGGCGTTTTACATTTGTATTAATGACTATGATTGTTTGTATCGATCTGGATGTTTACTATGTAATTACGTGAGTCGCAGCCGTAGGAGTCAATAAACCCAATTAATTGTTAATATATTTAATTTAAAATAAAATATTACAAATTATAAAATAAGACTATAACTGTCTTCGGACGGAGTTGGTACCGAATTGAATTGACAAATTTTCCATTTGAATACTAAGCTGCGGTAACTCTACACTAGGTGTCAAGTCAGCAGTTGCGTAGCGCGGTGGCGCAACGAAGATGTGCAGCGTTGACTCGTCATTTCTGATGTCCCATACATCCTAAAGTACAGGGATGTGCTCCTCATCAGCAATTTCCCTATTAGCAATAGCTATAACAATGTATATTATGTATGTAATTAAAAAAAAAAATGTGTCTATGTATTTATATCAGTCGTCTAGTACCCATAACAAAATTCTGCTTAATATTTTTTTTTTTTTTATACTACTATGGTGGCAAACAAGCATACGGCCCATCTGATGGTAAATGGTTACCGTAGCCTATGGACGCCTGAAGCACCACATGGCGCTGAAACCTTAATATGTTGAAAAACCCCAAGCTGTAGTCTCGTGAGAAAACCTCGGCAGGAAGTTCATTCCATTTAGCTCCTCTGAAACCGCACTGTTTATGGGAATACTGTCGATGGCGAGCGATGGTACAAGGTGGCCGTAGGCATCATGTCAAACAGTTTCTCAAAACACAGTCCGTTGTATAATCGGTGAAGCGAAGTCTCGCCTCAAACTAAGTGGCTCGATACCGTCAGAGAGATTGGGATCATCGACAATTCTCATAGCACGTCTCTGAACCGAGTCAAAAGGACCGAGCTGGTATCCAGGTGCTCCTGCCCAAAGATGAGAGCAGTACTCCATGTGCGGCCGAACTTGAGACTTATATAAGAGGAGTCTCTGGTCCGCAGTGAAGTACCGCTTCGCTCTATTGAGCACACCGAGTTTTTTGGATGCCAGCTTAACCTTTTCTTCGAGGTGACTACGGAACTCAACTGTGCTAGAGATGTCGATACCGAGAATCCCAATACTCTTAGAGATGGTAATGGACGTGTTCTGGAATTGCGGAGCCACAGCAAAAGGCTTGTGTCTTGGTATTTATTCGTATCGATTTCAGACACAAGCTGTTCGCGGTTTGCCTCCACAACGGAAAGAGGGATATTAGCACGGCCCGTGTAAAATGCGTTTTGTCATCCGCATAACAATGAATGTTAACTGTAGTTAACAAATCATTGATATGCAGCAAAAACAGTGTCGGGGAGAGAACGGAGCCTTGCGGGACGCCAGCGTTAATGTCCATGCTATCGGAGCAACTACCGTCGACTACGGTTTTGATGCATCTGCCAGACAAAAAACTAGCGACCCATTTGCATAATCCCTCTGGTATACCGTACGAGGGCAATTTCGATAATGATGCCAAACCCGATCGAATGCCTTCGCCATGTCAAGGCTGACTGCCAATTCACCTTTACTCTCGAAAGAAACGGTGTGTGAGATACACTAAAAGATCACCAGTTGAGCGATTATGGCGAAAGCCATATTGACGATCGCTCAATAGATCGTGATATATTTACACGCTCCATCCACCTTGGAGAGTAGAGATGCGATAGCGATAGGCCTGTAGTTCGATGGGTTTGATCTGTCGCCCTTTTTTGGCACAGGGTGCACAAGGGTGGTCTTCCATGAAGACGGAAATTGCCCAGAGGAGTACGAAAGCGCGAAAAGGCGCGTGAGTACGGGACACAACTCCGGAGCACACTTCTTTAACACCAATGCCGGTATGCCGTCTGGCCCATTCGACTTGTGGACGCCAAGAGACAGTAACTCTCGCCGGACACGCCGTTGCGTTACGGATATTTCCGGCATAGAGTTACCACACCATGGGATGGTAGTAGGTATGGTGTCCCCGGCGTCCAAAGTCGAATTTGAGGCAAAAAGAGCGCACAACAAATCGGCCTTCTCTTTTGCACTGATTGCCAAGTTAAATATGGATCTACATGGCGCTGTGTTAATTAGTTACTTATTTATTTATTTTGTCTGAGCATGCGAAACCTGGACAGGTCATGCAAATATTTATTCGTATTTTAGTTCAGTCACCTTAAAACCAAATTTCCTTTAACAATTGATTTTACGAACAAAACCTTTGTTATCAGTACAAGTCAATATTTACCGTCGACATGAATGCCTTTGACTTCTGCTAATCAAATATGTTTTCGCTTTAATAAAGCGGCTTTATCAACTGATGGGCCCGAATCCCCGATATATTTTATTAAAACTGCTCGTATAAAATGTATTGTTAGAATTCAATATTTGGTACATACATATTGAAGAGGGTCGTGGTTCAGTTGTTTAGTACTATCCCAAATCGGAGACTCCAAAGAGTAGTCAGTTCGATTCTGCCGGAGACATTTTTTTTTAGATAAATAGTATAGTGTTGGAATTGGTCATGCTTCAATTGTTTATTATTATCCTAACTCGGAGACTCCAAACTGCAAAACTACTGAAAAACAGTAGTTTTTGCGTGAAAGATTATTCTTTCATCCATCCATTCATCCACACATACTGGCACTTTACAATAATATAGCTTATACATCAGAATAACACATGGGCTATAAAATTCACACGAGTGAAGTCGCGGGCTTAGCTAATTTGTTACAAATACGTAAAAAGTTTTTTTTTTAATTTCCACTAGGTATCCACAGTGGGCAATGTGCTGCTGGAGTGGTGGGCGTGAAGATGCCCAGGTACTGTCTTTTTGGGGATACTGTCAACACGGCGGCGCGGATGGAGTCCAACGGAGAACCCCAGAAGGTCCACATCAGTAATGACACGTACTTACTACTGAAGCAGCATGGAGGCTACCACTTCAAAGAGAGGGGAATCATCAATATTAAGGTGAGGATGAACAATTAATAATATGTAATCTAAATATTATAAAAAAGCTTTCTGTCTGTTTGTTTTTGTTAATCTCTGAAACGGCTGCACCAATTTTAACAGGACTTGTACTCGCAGATAGTTATCTGGAGTATGTAGTAGTAAATGTATGTTATAAGATATAGTATAGTATGTAGTATGTTATAAGGAGTAACTTACACTATTTAATTTCAGAAATATTATTTACTTAAATAAAAAAAAAATGACACAGACGAAGTCACCGGTAAAGCTAGTGCAAACATGTACATGTATCTTTATGCTAAGTTGGTAGCTTAATCACCTTCGCAGCACTAAGTTACACAAAACACAAAGCTACCTTTATTTCTTTTTTTTTTTTGTATATTTATTCTTTTTTTATTAAATTCCAACACTAAGCTACACCAAGCACAAAGCTTCCTCCGTTTCTATTTTTGTACATATATATTTTTGTACGTCAAATGTGCTATGAGTTTGAAGAATTTTGAATAAACAAATAGAATCTTTATTCAAATAAACTCATTACAAGCACTTTTGAATAGTCATTTTCTACCACTCATTCGGAACGCAGACTCACCACAAGCAGAATGAGCATGAAACTTGTGTGTAAAATAAATAATTACACAATAACAAGTAACAGGCATACGATGATCAACGTAGAATCATTCTTAGTGCAATCTGATAATATTGTCAGGGCTATGTATATATTATGTTTTTTGTACAAAAACATTGTTATGGTTTACAAACTATTCAATTTTGTAATAAACTTTTTTTTCGAAGGAAGTGTTTGAACGACATTTAAATCTTTATTCACCAATTACAAATTTGTCTGTTTATCTATTTATATATGAATGAATGAATGAATAAAACTCTTTATTGCTTCTCTCACAGAAAATACAGTTACATACACAATTAATTGTATTAAATAATTGTATAAAATGATAAAAAAACAATAACAAAGAAGACAGAGGTAACTATGGGCGGCCTTATCGCTAAAAAGCGATCTCTTCCAGGCAACCTTAGGGTGGAGAGAATTTGAAGAGTCTATCTATCTATATTAATACTAGCTGTCACGGCAAACGTTGTTTTGCCTTAAAATAAAAAAAAAATTAGGGGTGGACTACCCCTAACCTTTAGGCGGATGAAAAATAGATGTTGGCCGAATCTCAGACCTACTCAATACGCTCACAAAATTTCATGAGAATCGGTCAAGCCGTTTCGGAGGAGTATGGGAACGAAAACTGTGACACAAGAATTTTATGTATAAGATTATTCAACTTAAGTGCCGTATCTTACGAGTATCGTATAGTATGAGTGGCCTTAGATTTATAATTGAAGATATCTCGGATTCGACCCACGATTGGCCGTTTAGGAAACGAATTTTTCTAAACTGACGCGGGTCGAAACGTTCAATAGTGCCCTTGGATGTTGGATGTTAATTTATTATTTGGAATGGGACACAAGTATACAATACCAGAATGGAATGATATTGAATCCAACACGCAATGTTTTATTTCCAATAGGTGCGGATTCAAAGCTCGTACGATAATATATTCATAATATTTCAGAATATAAAATTAACATACTGAATTAAATATTGTACAATTTTATTAATTAAATATATAGAGTTTCAATCTAAATATATATAACTGACTGACATAGTAATCTATCAACGTACAGCCCAAACCACTGGACGGATCGGGCTGAAATTTGGCATGCCGGTAGATGTTATGACGCAGGCAACCGCTAAGAAAGGTTTTGATTAATTCTACCCCCAAGGGGATAAATGTTTGTATGAAACTTTGTCTATTTTAAACCAATCGGGCTGAGATATTGCATGCATAAAGCTACTATGACATAGTCATCCCCTAAGAAAGGATTTTGATAAATTCCACCCCTAAGGGGATAAAATAGGGGATGAAAGTTTGTATAAATATTTTTAGATTTTCGACTGATTGAACTGAAATTAAAGATTAGAGCTGCTATGATGAAAACGTCTGCTTAAATACGATTTTGATAAATTCAACCCCCATGGGAATAAAATAAGGGATGATATGATGCAGGATGTAAATGTGTTAGTTTGAACCTATCAGTTACTAATGGAACGAATCAATTAAGATGAACAAAATAATTTTTAATATTTTAGGCTACTTTTATTTTAGAAAAATAAAGTTCTATTCCACGCGAATGAAGTCGCGGGAACAGGTAGTTAATTATTAATTACGTGAATTAGATGTTATTATGATTATATATAGAATATTATAATAATACTAGCTGTCCCGGCAAACGTTGTTTCGCCATATAAATTAATAACGCTATAAAAAAATAGGAGTTGATGATAAAACCCCTTACATTTAGGGGGATGAAAAATAGATGTTGGCCGATTCTCAGACCTATTAAGTAGGTCTGAGAATCGCTCACAAAATTTCATGAGAATCGATCAAGCCGTTTCAGAGGAGTATGGGAACGAAAACTGTGACACGAGAATTTTATATATAAGATAAACGATTTATTAAGTCTCTACCTACCAACTGCTTACTTTAAAATTATGGAATGCAAAGCTTAAATAAATAATATTATGTAACTGTCACACACACATTCCAAATCAGAATCAACAATGGCCGACCGACATTTAGATTTATTATTATTAGATTTGTTGACGGCTTCTTTATATAAGCTCTGTAATTTTTTATATCATATATCTATATATATATATATACCAACAACCATTTATTATTATTATTGTTTTATATTTTATATATATATCCTTTTGATGGGATGATAAAACTGTCATTGCGGGTGAAAATCATCAAACAATAACAACTATAAAAGAAATAATGGTGATGAATATTTTTTTTAAACGGAAGACCAAAATTTGCGGAGAATTCTACATGTATTTAGTATTACAGCTTTTTAGAGAAGTATGGAAGTAAGTGGGTGAAGCTGATAACTTGAGGCTAGTGTGTGAGGATGTTGAAATGACATCTGTAGACGAGATAATAATTGGGAGAGTTGTTATTATTATTATTATTATTGTTAAGATTACACAAAGAAGAAGAAGAAGAATATTAATCTTTATTGAAGTAAAAGTAGGATCGCGGGCAGAATCTAAAAAACTAAAATCTTTATGATATAAACATTTTTTATGAACTATATTATATGTACATATACTTTTAGATGGTCAAGTCCATCATGTATTTGTTTATTTGTACTTTTAATAGATAAATAAAACAAATTCTTTGAAGTATCGAGGAATGTTGTTTAATATTTTTTCTTTTTTATTATTATACAAAGTACATATAAAAGAGAAAAAGCGGTTTTCCTGCATATCTCTGCAGTGCGTGAAAGGAGAGCTTTTTGTAAAGAAAATATCTACGCATCTTGGTTGTACTTTAAAAGAGCTATGAAATCAGATCAAACAATCTTCCGTTGTTGTTGTAAGGTGAAAGTACTGCCTTACGGTTACACAGTTTTCCATAAAAGCCTTCAATAATCCACATAAATAGATGACTGGGGATAAAAAATATATTTTTTATATACTAATGATTCTTTAGTTCTTGTTTCCAATGAGTGATTGAAAACAAAAACTCATTAGTATATAAAAAAATCCAGAAGAATTTTTTACTTTTTATGTTGTTTAATTTAGTGGTTCACTGCCCTGAATACACCCGAGGTCGTGAGATTAAATTTGGCCAATACAAAAATTTTCGCGATTTTTTTTTAATAAATGCTAATTGAATGGTGCACCCGCCTGCGCTAACGGTATACGCTAGCGATGCACTGATGGAGAATGTTAGGATGAGGATGAAGTGAGGTTAGGCCAATGGTTTCCTGGAACCTCGTGGAAGTAACTAGAACTATGCTAGTACCCATTACTGATAATCCCGTAAAGTATTATAAATCTTATTTTATATTATGAGTACTATACTCACTAATATTAAAAACGTAGAGCACGAGTATGGATGGATATGGTGGAGCTAAGTATGCTATGAAATTATAGCTGACATTAGCTGTGCCCGCTGTTTCTCTCGCGAGATATTTATAGGCTATGATGTCATTGTAATGTGTAACCTAACCTGTATTATAGTAAAATTTCTACAAAACCGTTAGTAGAGTTAGTACAGTAGTTTAAATAAGAAAGAAAGAAAATTGTTTATTTGGTACACTGAAAATAATTTTTAAAATTTAATTTACATTTTATATTAATAATTATAGTACCAACTAGGTCTCCGCTCAGTATATGTCGTGACGGGGTGCCACGACGCTGGTTTTCAGCGGACACTTTCATATACAATAAACATAATAAAATAATAATAATAATACACATACATATATAAATCCAGGCGGACAACACAAAGCAAACATTTACGACATACTACCATATATAAATAAACATCAAACATAGACTACACACTGAAACATAAAATAAACATAAATTCTGGTGACACTAGTAGGCTGACACCTTGCATTACCCCGCTTTTGGAGTGCAGACACATCACGGCACAGTTTTGAGGAGGAGTATTTTTTTAAATTTATTTTTAAAAATCTGCACAGTTAAATGTGACAGAGTAACAATTATCCATCCACTGGTCTGCTCTAATCACTATGACTGATTTCCTCTTATTAATTGTTTAACCAGTTGGTTATGTATTCAATATTTTTTCTTTTTGAGTATTTAATTGAATTAGTGCTAATTAGTGGTTTGTATTCACACACTTAAACTTAAATTGTAAGTAAGAATAAATTATTTAAAAGAGCAACACACAAGTTTCTTGCTTGTTCTTCTTGTGATGAGACAGCATTCAGAATGAGCGGTAGATTAAAAAAAAAATGTTATGACTATTCAAAAGTGCTTCAATGTAAGTTTATTTGAATAAATGATTTTCTATTCTATTCTATTCTATTCTATACTCACAAACTTTTGAGTTTATAATGTTATTAAGATGCGTGTGAGTGGAATGTTAAGTACATTCCACTCATATCGTACATGCATAAACATGTCCATTACAAAAACATAAAAAAAAGACTTCCTATTTATGTAATGTATAAATTATATATATTAATATAAAATATTATTGTTCAGGGAAAAGGTGAGATGAAGACATGGTGGCTTGTGGGAGAAGATCACGAGAGGAGGAAAAATTCAATTTGCCGATTCCGTAAGTAACATGTAATAATAATAAAATCTCAGAACAATTCTCACAGCACCATCTAGTCCCAAGCTAAGCAGAGCTTGTATTTTGCCTACAAGTCATCTGATGTAAATATTTTTAATTTTTTTTAAATACATACATAATATATTTAGAAAACACCCAAACGAATACAAACAATCATACTCATTAATACAAATGTTTGTACCGTGTGAGGAATAAAACCCGCGACCATAGGAATTAAAGAGGTGTTCTAAACCGTTAGACGACCGAGGCCGTCAGATAAAAATATATTGGAAAACAAAAGTTTTTGTCACCTACAAAAATCATGTAAATCAGTAGGTTATGAAACAATGAAATTTTATACTGTAATCACGCATAAACGTAATATCTCCTTTGAAAAGTTTACACTCTATCCTGGGGAGATAAAAACCATCGCTCCTAAGAATATCCTTCAATTCTTGTCCCTGACGGGTCTAGGTAGCGAATTTTGAAAAAGGGCGAGCATAATATATCTATATAGGTCGCAGTACTACAAGGCCAAGCACCTGACAATAGCCCAACCAACCCAATAAAAAATACTATAATAATGGACCAAAAGTAACCTGATATTGAAGGTGACGCAGCTGGAATCGAGTTACAACGCAATTTCAAAGCATTCGTGGCCCGACTCCCCACCAACATGCTGCCCACCTTCATGAAGGAAGACTACTGGCCGAAGGTGGTCTATTGACACTACCGTGGCAGATTGCCGTCGTCAGTGCCGTGACCATAGAGACAATTTTATTTATATTTTATTATTATTTCTTATGTATGTTAGTCTATAAGGTATTTATAATATGGGTAATGTAGCCTTTATTAAATAAATCAATACATATAAATAAAATTGGAATGTCTGTTAATAATATTGAAATAACAGTTTTTTACTACATGCATATGAATATAAATACGGTACATACACCAAAATAACATATTTTATAATTTTCGTCTGTCTGTCGGAACAAACAATTCCGGTTAATCGCTGAAATGGCTGGACCGATTTTGACAGGATTTTTATTAGCAGGTAGCTGATGTAATAAAGAGTAACTCAGTCTACTTTTATTTTAGAAAAATAAGTTAAATTCCACGCGGATGAAGTCGCGGATACAGCTAGTAAATAAATAGATAATATTGCGTTTTCTGTTAATACTTAGCCATTAATAAACGTAAAAAGGCTTCCACCAGACCTGACCTTTTAATTTCCGTAATCTCTTTATTTGCGTCATCCATCATTTCCAAGCGTTACACGTAATATCTTGATACCGCAACTAAATTGTGTTTTAAGCTATCATTTGTCATGAGTTACGTATAGTACATATATATAAAAATATGCATCACCGTTGAATTAGGGAGCAGCCACGCTTTCTATAAATCTTTAGTACCCGAGCGACCATGCTTCGCTAGGAATTTCTTGGGCAAAACGTTTAACTCTGGAAGAGATTAAGTAACTAACAAAAGATTATAATTTTTTAATTTTATAATCTTTTGTTTAATTAATTATTTTGGTACTTGAATTGTTGTTATTTCTTGTTAGTTTATTAACATATACTTTTAATAACATAACATTTTTTGCATAAGATGATACTGTGTATTTTCTATATATGTACTTTCTACCTTCCTTTTATAAAACAATTTTCTAGCAAAGACGCTATGTACAGTAACTTAAGCAAAACCCTATATAAATGCACAATTTTATCCAAACCGTAAGATCAGTTTCCGAGATACATAAATAAATACAAGTATTACTCGTTTCTAATAATAGTTATTAATGAAACATATCTTTTATAATGAAATGAAATTTATATAAATTCTATTTTTGTAGCACCAGTTCAGAATCGCGACTACGCAGGCAGCACCTACGACGAGCCATGGTGGAGTCCTCAGCGGTCCATCCTGAATATAAGGGACCGGGCGAGACTCTCCTGCGGAGGATCCTTAGGCCCGGGATCAGCACTATCCTCCCCTGGACCCCCAGCGTGCGCCTGCTTCGTACCGCCCAGAGAAAACCACTCGGCCCCCGTCGTCTCATTTTGCGAGGACTGACGTTAACTTTACCAAGGTGATATGCCATTCTTCTGGGTCAGCAATGAGGTGCAAGACGACAGACTGACAGAGAAAGAGATAAGATTGAAAAAGAATAAGGTTATGCCAAAAGTTGGTAATGATGTTAAGTATTTTTTAGAAGATGATACGAAATCTTATAAGGTGATATATGAGTGTATGGTTGATGATGATGTTAGTGATGATGCAGATGGTAGAGCGAGGGGATTAGCAGCAATGCAGAGGTTGTATTCTATAGATTATGATCATTGGCTGTAGCCTAAATGGTACCTTATAATCTATCAAGAAATAAGTCGTACAAAGTCGTCCAGATAAAGTAGTAAAAGGCCTTGTATTTTGGACAACGCCATCTATTAATCAATAGAACCTATTGAAATAAATTTCCAAAATATGGACTTTAAAGTTATATTACATAAGATCTATTTAAAAATAAGAAAATATATTACTACTCCTGAACCCACCCTCGGAACTGCCTCTGGCTTTCACTAGGCTTAACCATTTTAGAAGTTTTCGGCCGAGAGGAAGTGCTTGACAAATTGGAACGTAACTCGGGTACTAAAAGTCGTCACCGTGAGAATTGTGTCTTGTCTATTAATGCAGTTTAGCAGATTGTATCTCGAACTATATTCCTTTGTGAAGGATAAGATATATTAGTAAAATATAAAGGTACAGAGGAATGATATATCCATCTTTAGGAACGTTGAAATTGTCTTATATTGTTTTAAATTTGACGCGGTAATTATTTAACTTAAGTGTTCTCGTCGTCCTCGATCTCCTATTGTATTAATTTCCTAATAAAGGCTATAACAGAATAGCAGAGAGGGTGGACTCACTGCCTCCTCTGAGTTATAGACCGTTTTGTCTCGTTTATTACTTTTAAATTTTATATAAGCAATTTTATTAGTTTTTATTGGAGACAAATGAAGTTGTTTATTATTTATACATACATTTAGTAAAAATCACGGGATCTCACCACGTTTTATTTTGTTTGAGTTCCTGATATTTCGGTTTTCAACCGCCATGATCACGGGTAAACTGAAGAGCAGCGGATAGACGGTAAATAAAATATTTTTATGGACAGACATATGCGTCTATCTTCACACGTTTTCGTTTGTAGCTACGAGTATTATTGAAATATCGGGAATTCAATACAAAAATAAAACGTAGTAAGATTTTAGTAAGTATACGTCGAAATTGCTGTTATGTTCAGGGTTGAGGGTTCCTCTTTTAATTCAGTGATTTGTCAGTTTGTTTGCATTTCAGTTACGCACCAAACAATATTTGTATGTTTGTGTCTCGCGTAAAGTGTAAGGGCCTTATTAACAAGGCAAGGAACGTCATATCGTACTCGACTCTTCTAATCCTTGTTTTAGTCAAATCTATAATTAAGTATACATTGAAGCCCATTAATTAAATGGTAAATTAGAGGATTAATATTAGGCAAGTGATCGAGACTGTTGGTAGATATCTATAAAATGTAAATTGAGAAAAGTATTACTAAATAATAATGTTTTTTTTACGAACTAATGCTTAAGTTGAAATAAGTAGATATATGTCTTATATTTATTAAAACATTATAAATAATTATACATATTTTATCTGTGACTTTATTGATTAATTTTTCGGCCTCAATGGTTTAGTGGTTTAGCACACCGCTTTATTTCCGATGGCCACCGGTTCGAATCCTCGCACGGTGCAAACGTTTGTATTAATGAGTATGATTGTTTGTATCGGCCTGGGCGTTATATATGTATCATTAAAAACATGTGTTTAAAACAATTCTATCAGTTGTCTAGTAATCATAACACAAGCTATGCTTAGCTTGTGACTAGATGGCGCTGTGAGTTGTCTTGGCTTCTTCTGTTTTAATTGCATACTCTGTATATTTACTCTGTATTAAAAAGGTAAACAAAATGCATTAAATTAATTAAATAATTTAATTAATTAAAAGTATATATATTTTTCTAAATAAAATTGCGGAGCATGATTGGTGCTGTTATAAGATTGTATGTATAGGTACATAATATATATTTATATAGTCAAATGTATATATGTCTATTTAGTCACCTACTTATACTTGACTGTTTAGTTTTATGTCTAAATATTTCTAAAATTAAAAAATAAATATTTACCCTTAATAATATAATGTAATACATAAATATTTATTGTGACATAACATATTTATATTATATATTAAGATATATACGTAGTTATATCATGGTCTTTCTACGAAATAAGTCTGTATAATAATTGTATACCTACTACAAAAGTGGTTACAACAAAAATTGGTAGGTAAAGAAAAATAATAGGTACCTACTATTGCTATGAAATGATTTTTAAATAAATAAGAGTATATTTTTTCTATGCTCATACCCTATTTATATAAAATCCGCCTAATAGAAGAGGCCTATATCTATATATTTTTTTCTTTTTAAGCTTTTAAGGATAGGCAAAGAGAACTGTGCTTATACAGCCATGTTGGCTTGTTTTTCATATTAATTTTCCTAGTTCATTTAATATTGAATTGTTGAAATAATATAATCGACAAGACTTATATCCTTTTTGACATTAATAACGTAAAAATAAGTTTTCTTTTAATTTTAAGCGCATTAAAGACCTATCCTTAAACTTTATACGTAAATTAATAATATATAAATTTGTAGTTACCTTCACAAATTCTAATTGAAGTAAAAGAGTGTTTTCATTAGATTTAGGAATTTAATATCCTGATTGTGCATTCGATTAATGAATTATTTCTGTCGACTTTATATTAACTCATATTAGATTTCCGAATTTCAGTTATTCGATTTACAAAGTATCGGGATAATAGTGCTGGGACACGTAAAATGCGTAAAAAGGTTATTACATTATAGGCATATGTGGGCCTATAATTAGATTAATTATTCAATATCGAAGATGTACTTTTAATTTTATTACGCTTTACCATATTTTGTGAAATTAATATTCGTTTTTAACATTTATGACTGGAATATTGAGCAATATGACTATATTCGTGAACCCGAGTCAGTCAGGACGGGCGCCTAGTAGTCGTTTCGATGTAATAACATCGTAAAACATTAATAAATTTCCAATAAAATGATACCTAATGTGTCAGAAATAAGGTGCTAGGCAATTTGTAACGAAGCGTACCTAATTATAATGAAATTGTATTATTAAGTGCTTATATAAACCCTTATTTTGATGTGTCTAAATTATGGTATATTTGGGTTTTTCTAATTGACTTGGAACGTTTACGGAGGTCAAGTTTACCGCGTAATTTTTCCTGGTTTTTATAGCTGGGAAAACTCGTAAAAATAATATAGATAGCTATTATTATTTTTACCTATAAAAGTGGAAGAATCTCGCAATAGGCACCTATCTATTAATTACATTCTTAGAGCTACTAAAGCTAAAAGGATTCGACATAAAAACTGTGAAACATCCTTATCTTTGAGTTATTATTTTGTTGTAAAAGAAAGTATAAAAATAGGTCTATGGAATGTTCTGGTTACAAATAGAATGTATATTTCTATATAATGAGAGTAGTCATATTTTAATATATATTATTTAATTATCACTACCTATACGCCCCGGCTTCGCACGGATGTACATGTATTATACATATAAACCTTCCTCTTGAATCACTCTCATCGACTGCAAATATTAATTTGGGCATGGCCTAATACATGGCAACTGAAAATCAATTTCATGTAACGGGATTAGATGCCTATATTAATTTTTAGAACCTAAGGTAGGTAACACCTGATAATACCCCAATTGTCTCTATATTTTTTTTATTCTTATGTAAAGTGCGAATACTATAACTACCACATGGTGATTTTAAGTAGCTATGACGTGGTCCTTTATCTTGAGTAGTGATACTCACTAAAATGTCCAGACATGTGGCGGCGTGGTGGGCCGAGTCATTGGGCTCCCTAAAATATGGTCAAGCGCAGTGACCACTGGCTCATCCGGCATACTTGTGAACGAGTGCTGCTTGGAGGAACTGTGTACCTACCTAGACAACACTTTTATTTCACGATTTTAAAGTCAGATTATATGTAAATCTGGTAGATATTATATATGTGTATATGTGTATATATACTCAGCCGAATTATGACAGGATTTTTTTTTATAATTTTATCAACACAGCGTCATGCTACATGCATGCTAATTATCATAATAGGAATTACTGTTCTATGACAAAAGGGCTGACTAATTACAGCACTATATAGTCCCCTTGTCACATTTCTGTGACTAAAAACTATACCTAAATGTACAGGAGCTACTGGTAGAGACCAGCAACAAGCACAAGTACTTAGTCACGTTTTTAAAAGTCTTAGAAATCTATTTAGAAAGCAGATACTTCAACAAATGCTGATAAGGTTTATTTTTGTTTAGACGACTTTAAATATGCGACGTCAAGTTCCATGCCAAGTGTCAAGGTGCGAGAGAAATGGGTAGAACAATCTAACTGAAAGCTTTGTTACCTAATGCGGTGAAATAAATTGTTTTTGCTCGAAACGATATCCAGGTTATCAGCTTAAGTGATGGGATCTTAACCTTTTATTATACTTGGAGAAAATCCATGTGGAGACCCACCTGGTACTGTGACTGTTCTACTCATTAAAAACTCCAAGATATCCCTGATCTCTCACCAAATACCTGGTCACGAGGGCACGTTAGCACTCGTCGACTCCGATCTTACAGTGGCCATAACGGATCCGATCTCGGCGGATTCCTCTGGAAACTCACCACACTCTTCTTGCTGGAGAAGTCGTGCGACTTCTTTGGGCATAGTGTAGGATTATTAAACTTGTTCAGTAAAATCAAAGTCTAATTAATACAATACTTTTCAATATATCCTTCTGGGTATGTACCATTTCTATGCAATTAAATAAAATCAAAGTATCTGTTTGGAATTTTAAATCGACAGCTTAAATGGAGGACGTCTTAACACTTACAGTAATAGTGGACAAGTT